GTTTGTTTTGAGTTTGTGTCTCGGTCTAGTTGGTATCGAAACACAAGAGAATGAGAAGGAGATGCAAAATCTGTCTGTACCTGAGTGACGAGGGCATAGAGCGGTAAGGTACTGTAACTGCAAAGAAGCTGAACCAATACCCTGAAGAGAGAAGAAAACAGAGTCAAACATTTCAAGTTCAAGAAGTTATAAGAAGCTTTAGCTATACTGGCGCTATTATTTACCCGATGATGAGTCTTGGGATTATGAACTTGACTTGTCCCATGATGCAAGAATCAAAACCATATTGAGCCTGTTGTTACAATTGCATTAATTTTTGTTTGTTTGTTTTCATTTCTGTATTTTGGTTCAGTTCCATTTTGGTAAAAAGAGCACTTACAAAGATAAAGAAGATGAAGGCCAATTCGAATGAGTTTTGGAAAAGAATGAAATGGATCAAGAAGAGAACTAGCCGAGGACTTTTGAACCAGAATAGATCATCCGATGGTCGGACTACCAAATCTCCCTCCACGGCGACGTGTTTCTCCGCAACTTCATGAGCCAAATCTGTGATGATATGCTCTAACTTTGTCCCCACGGCAAGCAAAAGCTACCGAGAAAAAAAAATCGCGTAAAACAGGTTGATCAAGAAGGCTTTGAAGCATAGAAATGGAGTAGTAGTTTAGGGACTTACGATCAAAGGAATAAAAGCTATCCAGAAGTAAATATGCCAAGCTGCAAGGAAGATGAAATCGATGATCATTAACCCGAAAAAAAACTGGTTTGGATTGAAGTTAAAAGATGTTTTCTCACCAGCAATGTTTAGAAGCAAGAAGAGAACCACAAAAACCCAAAGATACCAACTACAATTTGACATATATATACACATTAGAACAGAATCAAGAACATTACTTGAATTAAGTATAGTTTTCGAAAAAGCCTGAATTTTTTGTTTACCTGATACCGACAACTTTCTTGAAATCGGAATTGAGAGCACGCATTAAATACCTATGGAAATTGAATTTTGGGTTGGTCTTGCAATGAGTCTATATAAAAGAAGATGAACAAAAATAGTTTACTTTAGAGATGATTGTACTCAATTCTTTTGAACTAACATTAAAAACAAAATTCCGAG